TAAATTATGCTCAACATGAAAAGATGGCGGAGTTGGACTGATTAAGGTTATCTTTATAAACGCGGCCAAAAGCCGCCAAGGTGGATAGAAGATGGATGCAACAAAACTGTCGACTGCGTGGCCGGAGTTGGACTGATGAGCATTATTTTTTTTAAGTGCTGCCGATGGCTGTTAACGCCAAAAAAAGTTGGACACAACAAAACTGTCGACTGCGTAGCCGGAGTTGGACCGATGAGCATTATTATACCTCTCATGAGCATGAAATGGTATTATAACTTTGGTCCGATGTTTGTAAGTACCAGAATAAGAAGAGATAGACCCATTAAAAGGTATACTTAAATGACCAGAACGTCGAGCTGAATCGATGTAGCCAAGTCCGTCTGTCCGTCTGTATGTCTGTCCGTCTGTTTGTATGCAATCTAGTCTCTCAGTTTTCGAGATATTCGGATGAAATTTGGTAGGTAAGTGTATTTTTACAATGTATTAATGATTTGTCGGAACCGGAAGAATCGGACCACTATCTATTTATCTCCCATACAACTGATTGTTCAGATATGAGAATTTTCGTTATAACTCCTCCATTTATGCAGCTGGGAACATGAAATTTCGCCCTATTTCCACCCATTATCAAAAGAATACGTGAAAATGGTGAAGATTTGGTCGCTATAACCTATAGCCTCCATACAACTGATTGTTCAGATATGAGAATTTTCGTTATAACTTCTCCATTTATGCAGCTAGAAAAATTAAATTCCGCACTTTTTTCACTCATTATCAACAGAAAGTTTACAGTTAAATTAAAAAAGATTCGGTCGCTATAACCTATTTATTGCCTCCATACAACTGATTGTTCGGATATGGGGTTTAACTGTAAATCTCCTTTATTTGCACAGCTAAAATCGATAAATTTCTTAAGCTATTTTATAAATAATAATACAAAGTCTACTGAGAAAATTGTGAAAATCTATGCTGTATATGGTTTACCTCTTATATCACTGATTGTTCAGATACCAGTTTTTGCGATATATCTCTTTTATGTAGGAAGCTAAACCCATTAAATTGTGTTACCGGTTTACATACCGATCACACAGCAGTGAAAATCACTTAGATTGGTATATCTTCCATACCTCTGATTGTTTAGATATTGTAAAAGCGAATGCCAATAAAACAATATTTTCAGCGACACGTATATGTTTGTACGAATAAGCGCTAAAATCTGTAATTTATTTAAGTAACGAAATTTACAAAGTTGTATGGTATTTGATTGCTACTCACACTTGTGTTTGACTTTGCATAAAGCAAGGCATTCGGTTACAAATATATTTTGCGATAAATTTATGTAAAATTTTATTATGTATAAGATTTACTTCTACTCGGCTAGAAACCCACGTTGAAAAGGAAGGAAATTGAAGTCAAAGCGGGAGAGCTCAGTGGCAGCGCGATGACAGCAGATGAGCGAGAGTTATGACGTTGGCAAAGCTCGAAGCCGTCGTCGTTAAAATTCGGAGGCGTTGAATAAAGTTGAGTCGAGGCGACGTAACATCCCCCCTTCCGTAAACTTCGTAAAGCTTCGTCTTACGAGGTTTTCTCCTTGACGTCGAGCTTAGCTAATTTTATGGTCGGCCGTGTAACTAATCCGTCGGTTGTTTTCACGACTGCACTCCGCACCTCTCCATCTTTGCCCAGATATACATCCATGTATTTCGTTTTGCAATTGTCGTCTACAATAATAACGACATCGTCGAGCCCTATAGGGTCAGGAGACCTTTCGAACCATTTACCGCGCCTTGTTAAGCAGGGTAAGTACTCGCGGATCCAACGTTTCCAGAACTGATCCGCAATCTGATTTGAGATTTTGGTAAGTGTAGGACCATTTCCCCTGGTTTCGTCGCTGTCGCGAATACCACTTGGGCTGCCTAAAAGAAAATGGTTAGGTGTTAAAGCATCCATTTCCGGAGTGTCCAGAGGCACATAAGTTAGGGGACGGGAGTTTAAAATATGTTCCACGTCAGCTAAAGTCGCTCGAAGTGCTTCCTCTCGCAGATTACCCTTTTCTAGAATGTCCATCAATATTGATTTGACCGACCTAACCATTCGCTCCCATGACCCTCCCATGTGAGGTGCAGCGGGGGGTATAAAATTCCATTTGATTTTCGGGTGGTGGCGTTCCACCTCTCCACATGATAACCGTTGAATTTCTTCTTGAAGAACGCGACTAGCCCCACGGAAATTTGTCCCATTATCAGACCATATACACTTTGGAACACCACGACGTGCCATGAATTGCTTAAGAGTCAGAAGAAACGAATCAGTTGAAAGCGAAGGGGAGAGCTCAATATGCACTGCCCAAATCGTCAGGCACGTGAAGAGAACACCCCAGCGTTTTTCACGACGTCTGCCTACTGCTATTTCGAAAGGCCCGAAGAAGTCAATGCCCGTGTTTGTAAAAGGCCTTGCAAATATCGCAAATCTCTCTTTCGGCAGATGACCCATCTCTGGGGGACGCGGAATGGCGCGACGATTTCGGCACCATTGACATGATTTCGCCGTGGCTCCAACCAATGCTCTTAGACCTGGAACAAAATAGCGCTGTCTCATTTCGTTAACTACTATCTCGTTGTGGTGATGGTGGAATTGGCGGTGGTAAAAGTCGGTGATAAGATGAGTTACTCGACTGTTGCGTGGTAATATTATGGGTCGTCTGACCTCAAATGCGACATCCTCGGCCATGTCTATTCTGCCCCGTACTCTAAGTACCCCCATCTCGTCTATATACGGCGAACACTTGTAGAGTATGCTTTCGCGTTTAACTATTTCACCCTTAGACGCCTTATCTCTTTTACAAATATTTCTTCTTGGCAGTGCCGAATAATAGCAAGCTCGGCCGCTTCTGCATCGGCCGCCTTGATTAAGTTCTGTAAATTGTCCGATATATTTGCCTTTCGTGAAATATTGCGAAGAAAACGAAGTATAGAGCTTTGGGTGCCCCGCAGCTTCTCCCAGGTACGGAAACGCGACGAACTAGGAATTATAGCCGTCAGCGATGACTGTAATGTTGGTTGCAGCTCTACATGACATATTAGTTCTGTCGCGAGTTTGCTGTCAAGATTCGCTCTAGGCCATTTCTCTTCGGTATCCGATAAAAATGATGGTCCGTAAACCAACGACTTGTGCAATAAAATTCTGGATCCCTTGCCCACTTTGTACCATCGTCGGCGACGTTGTCTACGCAATCAGACTGCACGTAATTGTCGAATCACTCTTCGCTCGCAAATACACTACAGCAGCATACGCATCGACGCTAGGATCCACGAAGGTGTGTATCTGCAATTCCTCTGCACAGCTCATCAACGACAAACAACGTGGAATACGAATATCTGGAATATTTGGTAGATAACGAACCCAACGCAACCATTTATCTTTTTCTTCTTGACGTACTGGTTCATCCCAAAGAACGCCGGAACGCCATACCTCCTGCATGAGGATTTTCGCGTAGATCATAAAGAAACCAAGAAGGCCCAAAGGATCAAACACGCCCATTATCACACGCAATATCTGTCGCTTTGTTGGAATTATACCATCGTCAAAGACTTCCTTTGGAAAGCTTTTAAAAAATGATAAAACATCAGTATTAGGGCACCACCACATGCCAAGAACCTTCTCGTGCTTTGCATCTGCTTGTTCGATGTGTTTAACGCGCTGGTTCGATTTCCCGGTTAAGGCGAACACCACATCTTTAGAATTGGATATCCAATTGCGCATCTCAAATCTTCCATCTGCATGGATATCCCTCACTGTGGTGGCTAGACGTATCATTTCATCTACTGAAGATATGCTCTGCAGCCAGTCATCCACAAACGTGTTCTCCAGTACCGCCTGTACTGCGGCAGGATGCTCATCTTGAAAACGTAACGCAGCCGCGGCATCCCAAACTATTCGCCTCTTATTTTTGTTTATGTTCGTAACCGTAAACATAGGAATATACCATGACTTACCGCTTGCTAAGTTTTCTTCCGGCTTCACCTTCCTTATGTAGTCTTTCTGCTCATAATCTCTAATGGTATTGGTGAGAAAGGATTTCTGATCCGGATCGCGTGACATTTTAGCCTCCAAACAGCGAAACCTACGGTGAGCCATTGGCAAGGAATCGGGCAGCTCGATGCGATCGTGTTTCCAAAGCAGACCTGTTTCCCATCGCTTCTCAACTGAAAGATATCGCGTCTTCGAATTCATTATGCGTTGGCAGCGTTCATCATCCTTTGACAGCAAAGGTTTGAAAGCGCGAGTCCCTATGGCCTCCAGCGAGAAATGAGCCTTTACGAGTTCCTCAAGGTGATCGTCAGTATGACATACATGCATCACGCGAGGATAGGAATTGGTTATTTCGTCTTTCCGCCCATACACCGACCAGCCTAGTTTACATTTTGCTGCCACCAATTCATCTCCTTTGCCCTCTCGAATTTCACTGGGCACCCCCAACTTTAAATTGTCCAGTCCTATGAGAATTCGTGCTCGTACTGCTTTGTACGGAGAAATTGGGAGATTGCTAAGATGTTTATGCGAATTAAGCGTAGCACTTTCAAGCGTTTGCAAAGGTAAATTCAAGTTTGAAACGGTGCGCACTCTATGTAGGGAAAATTTCTTGGCGCATTGCCTTTGGGCCGAAATATCGATGGATAAAGATTTGGAGTCAGCTTCACTCTGCAAAATGTCACCCGTCCACTGCAAACATAGCTCTTCTGCCGGCCCTTCGAGACCGAGTTCATCTGCCAATTCATTTTCGACTAGAGTGCAAGCAGACCCTTCATCTATAAACGCATGCACATTGATCGAATTTTCTTTGTTATAGAGTGTTACCGGAACGTATCGAAATAAAGCTTGCGTATTCTTCCCATGGAACATTACCGCCGTATTCTTAACATCCTCTTTAGCTTCTGAAATGGTGCCTTTAGTTTGCGTTGATCCAAGTAATAGCGGGTTGTGAGGCATTTTTCAACCGTCTATACCACACAGCTTTCTCGAGTTACATCGGCGTACGAAGTGTCGCTTGAAACAACAAATGCATAGTTTGGAATCACGGACAAATCGCCATCGTGCATCTCTGCTTAGCAGGCGAAAGGCACTACAATTTGAAAGGTGATGCTCTTCTTCACACTTTGGACAGCTACCTTGCTTTTCCTTATCGACGACCTCGTGTACCATTAATCTCTCCCCACTACGTCTGTGGCTACTTTTCAGTTCGGCTTGAGTAGGGGCATAGCCTAGCGGAGTTACTTGGCTAGCACACGTTGCTAAGCTAAATAGCCATTCGTCGAATACCATCAGGTCCACTCTTAAGCGCGTCATCCTAAATCTACCCCAATCTAATTTTAGATCACATGGCAATTTTGTCAAGAGCTTGTTTATCAACATCGGATCGTTCAAATAATCGCTGAGCCCAATCGCTTGCATTGTCGCGCGGTAATTCTGCACCGCCAGAGCAAAGTTTATTAAAGTATCCATCTTTTCCATTTTCACAATCGGATGCTGTCTCAATTTCCGTTGCAAGGTATGATGTATAACATCAGGTCGCCCGTAAAGCATCCGCAACGTTTCGATGGCAAGCGATACCGTACTAGGCATCATCAATTTTCCCCGCACGGCTTCGAGTGCCGGGCCCTTGAGGCACTTTTGCAAACGTATAAGGTTTTCCTGGTCAGTGAAACCACATCTTTCCGTAGACTGTTCAAAATTCGTGATAAAGACGGGCCACTCTTCAGGATTACCAGAAAAAAACGGTAGGTCCTTCAACATTACTTGGCGCGTAGCAACCTGTGAGGACGACAGAGTTATATCTGCAAAGGACGAGCGTGTCAGAGGATTTTGTGACGCATTAGTAGGACTTGCAAAGTTGTTGACGTAAGCAGACATCACGGATGCCGTGCTATTAAACGCCCCCACGTTCCTATTCAAGTCTGCGTTTGAAAAAGTACCTCCCGTATTATGTCGACCTATACCCGGTAAGTAAGCGCTATTATGCGTGGAGGAACTAAGACCACCGACTCCACCTGCCCAAGAATATTGAGCCCTCATATACGCAGCGTCGTCGCCAACCCCAGCTAAACCCAATGAAAATCTAGCGTTGTTTGTTGCAATACTATATGGAGCAGATGCAAGGCTCGATGATGCATTTATATTAAAGGGCACGTGTTGTGAAATGTTACGGTTATGTATATTAAGTCCATCCAATTCTACATGAATATCCGGCAATGGATTTAAACCACCAACTCCACGTGTTGCTGAGGGGTACGTCATTGGGCACCAAGTTACCTGTGGTCTCTCTTCACCAATCGGAGCGATTGTTGGCGCAGTTGTGCGTAATGTGCGTGCACGCTTGCGTGGCTTCTCAGTACGTAAGATCCCCGAGCGGGTGCGAAGAGGCGAGGTAACGATCGTTCCCAGGCCATCCTCAGTCTGACGAGGAGTCGATGCGAAAATAGCACCCTTTGTTCCATTAGCTATAAATCCAACCGTCGTTGTGGGGGCAAGTGGTGGCGCGAATGCTTCAGTCGGCGCGCTCCCAGTAGCGAATACCGTGTCACCAGTAGAAGCGGGTATGCCAATTATTGCACCCGTAACGGTGGCAGAAGTGGAAGTAGCTACTTCGGTAGCCACACCAGCAGAGTGCATGCTGGTGACCTTTGATGAGCCAGAAGATGTTTCGCCTGCTTCACGGACACTCATTAGAGGGTTTGAGGTTAATTCGGAACACGTGTCTCGTGTTAGGCGCTCAATTGCAATAATTAGTAATTCCGGATTTTCGGAGATTCTCTGGTTTATCAAACTTGCAACGTGCTTCTGAGCAGATGGTCTTCGCCAAAGTATTTTAGAAATGTAAAAGCGAATGCCAATAAAACAATATTTTCAGCGACACGTATATGTTTGTACGAATAAGCGCTAAAATCTGCAATTTATTTAAGTAACGAAATTTACAAAGTTGTATGGTATTTGATTGCTACTCACACTTGTGTTTGGCTTTGCATAAAGCAAGGCATTCGGTTACAAATATATTTTGCGATAAATTTATGTAAAATTTTATTATGTATAAGATTTACTTCTGCTCGGCTAGAAACCCACGTTGAAAAGGAAGGAAATTGAAGTCAAAGCGGGAGAGCTCAGTGACAGCGCGATGACAGCAGATGAGCGAGAGTTATGACGTTGGCAAAGCTCGAAGCCGTCGTCGTTAAAATTCGGAGGCGTTGAATAAAGTTGAGTCGAGGCGACGTAACAGATATAATTTATATACAGTATATTTTGCTTAGCTGCCCATCCTTCTTTGCACGAAAAACTTGTGCGCTTAACCGAAAAAAGCACTTAAGCGAATTTTCTTTACTACTTTAATGAGGAAGGTATTTGAATCCCTATGAAACCAAATAATGGAGGAGCACTTACCACGTAGAAATTACTGCAAGAGAATTTTTTTCCGAATGGTATCTAGGTATCTATATAACTACATAAAATAATTGCCGTTTTCGTTGTTCTGCGAGATGAGCAAAATAAATAATAGCTTGTAAAATTAGGGTAAGTGTAGAGCCAGTGCAGGTAAACGTAATACTTTCTTTGATAATTGATAACAGTTGCAAATTTTTAAGGCAGGTATCGCTAATGTGCAGGTATGTTGAATGCAAGTATCGGAGCAGTTTCCTTATAAATGTTAAAAATAATGCCGCTGATGCGCATTTTGGGGTAGGTATCTTAAATGGGCACTTAAGCACAAAGGCAGCAAAGCAAAATATACTGTAATTATATATGTATCTCCTCTATCTATGTATGCTGTCAATATATAAATTGTTTCAAATGCAGTCATCTGTTAAAGTAAAATTTTCAGATGTTCATGAAAGGTATGAGCCGGATTCAATTATATGCAAAATGCAAATTAATCGATAATCAAAATTTGTCTCCTATGAAAAAAGATTACCATCTCGATGGATGAATTTTCCCAAAAATTAATGTATTGATATTTAAGCTGTTCTTAAATTTTCTCCCTAGGTTCTGCTGTATATACATAAGTAGTTACATACTTATATGTATGTATGTACATATATTTATAGTAACTATCAATAACTGAAGCCAACAATGTGAATACAGTGCCGAAATACACCAATTCACATAACAGTCATATTTACATCCAATCGAAAAATAGGCTGACTTCCAAAATGTACATATGGATGTATGCAATGATTGTATACCACTGCAGGAAAAAATTTTCAATTGATAAAAAATAACCAACTTGTAGTTAGTTTTTTGTGGGATTTCTATAAAATATATAATTTGTAGTTAGCTACAAACAGCTAACTTGAAAAGTAAAGCAGACTTAGTCGGGAGATTGTTTTCTTTAAACAGGTTTCTATTTAAAAATCCTTGTACAATTTTTAATTTGAATGCACTTTCTTTTTGCACTGCACAAATACTTTTTCGAATTTAGGACAAATAAAAGGAAGATAGAAATTTTATATTATCATTTGGAAGTTATGCCTAACGGAGTTCAATTATGGTACCACCTACAGTTTACAATATGTACACACCCCACTTGACTACATCTAATTCACCCTTGATTATTTCGCGGCCATCACTATAGAAATATAGTTAGCGTTCTTCAATGAAAATATACAGATAATAGTGACCCTTAGTTCCTTCCTAATCAACTTCAAGTTAACTTATAGTTAGATAAGTACATTTCCCGCTAGGAAATTTTGCAATTTGCTAAGAAAAAAGTAAAAACAATTTAAAATAAAGCAGTTTTTTGAAACAAACCGTATGCACTTAGATAACAGTTGCAGCACTGAATGCTGTGGACAAGAAGAACCTGAGCCCCCAGTCGATGGTGACAGAGTTGATGTTCCGCCACCTGACTATAACGAGGTACGAATAGCAATAGCGGGCCTGAAAGATAACAAAGCTGCTGAAGCTGACCCTGCCAAGTGAGCAATTCAAGTACGGCGGCGAGGAGTTGACAGGCGCATGCATCGACTCTTATGCATAATATGACCGGATGAACGCATTGGTGCCGAATACCGCGGGATCAAGCTTCTAAACATAGATTACAAGATCGTAACTAGCGTGTTGTGTGAACGACTGAAGCTCACCGTCAACGCACTGATTGGGCCTTATTAAAGTGGCTATGGACCTGGAAAATCCACCAGAGGCCAGGTATTCACAATAAGCCGCTTTCGACAGCACTAAAGGGAGTTGACTATACGCCGCCATGTCTGAATTTGGCATCCCCGCGAAATTGATACGGCTGTGTAAAATTACGTTAAGCAATACCACCAGCTCCGTTAGAATTGGGAAATACCTCTCCGAGCCGTTTGCTACCAAACGGGGTTTCAGACAGAGCGACTCCCTTACGTGTGATTTCTTTAACCTGATGTTGGAGAAGATAATAAGAGAAGCAGAACTGAACCGCTCAGAAAAAATTTTTTACAAGAGCGTGCAATTTCTGGCGTATGCCGACGACCACGAAGTCTGTTCTGCCTTTTCCAAGTTGGTTAAAGAAGCGAAGCGATTGGCTACCACCGAGTTGAACACTCCATTCAAACGACATGGCCAAGCCAGCACAGCCGCTGTATTTTAATTCGCTGCACTATGTCCATGTGGTTGTAAAGCTCTTAGAGCTCATCATTCCATCGTCTGCGGTACTCGCCGTCGTCAACGCGTAAAGGCAAGTAAATCTTCGGCAAAATCTTTCTCTTGAATACTCCAAGAGCCGCCTTAGCGGATGTTGTCATTGTCCATGCTTCTGCGCTATATATAGGCACGGGCATGATGAGTGACTTATAGAGTGTCCTGAATTTCCTACTCAGTCCAAAGTAGCAGTTGCTGGCAAGAGTGATTCTGCGTTGGATTTCATGCTGACATTATTATTGGTGTTAATGCTGGTTCGGCCCCTGTGGTCTAGTAGTAAGCAGTGGGCGCTTCCACTCCGCTGCGCCTGGGTTCAAGCCCTGGTCAAAGCAACATCGGAAAAAATATAGAAAAAAGGTTTTTTCTTAACAGCGGTCGTCCCTCGGCAGGCAATGGCAAACCTCCGAGTGTATTTCTGCCATGATAAACAGCTCCTCATAAATATACAATCGCCGTTTGGAGTCGGCGTAAAACTGTAGGTCCCTCCGCTTTGTGTGACAAAATCGAGCCGCACGCCATAAATCAGAGGAGAAGCTCGGCCAAACACCAACATATGTGTAAGCGCCAACCTATTATTGTTATTATTAATGCTGGTTCCCAAGTAAACGAAATTTTCCAGTTCCTCGAAATTTTAACTGTAAACAGTGACGTGGGTGCCAAAGTATCTCTTGTTATCAAAAAAACAGTCATCGCATTGGCGCTCACGTCACTGTTGACAGTTATAATTTCGAGAAAGTAGAGAAATTCGTTTACTTGGGAACCAGCATTAACTCCGATAATAATGTCAGCATCGAAATCCAACGCAGAATCGCCCCTGCCAACAAGTGCTACTTTTAAGTTTATTAGGCAATTGAGGAGTAAATTCTTCTCTCGACGTACGAAAACCACACTCTTATAAGTCCCTCATAATGCACGTGCTGGTATATGGCGCAGAAGCATAGACAATGACAGATAGAAAGATTTTGCGGAAGATTTACGGGCCTTTATTAATAGGCTACCACGAGTACCGCAGAAGATGGAACGATGAGCTGTATGAGCTTGACATTATGCAGCGAATTAAAATGCAGCGGCTCCGCTGGATTGGCCATGTCGTTCGAATGGACACCGAAGCTCCAGCTCTGAAAGTATTCAACTCGGAACCTGCTGGTGGTAGCAGAGAAAGAAAGAGGGAGGGCCCACTTCGAAGGTAAAACCATGTGAAGAAGGACTTGGCATTTCCAATTGGCGTGGGTAACAGCGCCAAATAAGAAGATATGGACTTAGTTTTGAACCATAACTTCTCAAATTGTCTTATGGTGGAATATGTCACATTAAGGAGTAGCAAAGTGCAATACGATTTGCTGGAATGGACTTAAACTAAGTTCCCACGAGCACTGTCAATAACTTTGTTCGCTTATGAATTACCTTGGCGAATTAACCCGTTTATACGGCACCTTCCTTATTCGATTTGACCGTTCATCGATTTTTTCTATCCTTTTCCTTCATTCTCCCCCTTTTATTTGATTTTATTTTTTCTGTTATCTCTTGCTCTGGCAGCTGAGCTGGATAAATTTTCCATTAAAATTAGAAACGGCAGCGATTTGTTCGTAATTCGCATGGTAATTGGATCTGAATCACCTAAAATGAGGTAATTCGCTCTCAAAATTTTGCATAGCCAATTAAGTAATTGGATAATTGGGGCGCCAATTACGAATGAGAGAGCCAATTAAAAATGAAAGAGCGAATTACGGACCGTGGGAACGTACTTTTAAGCAATTTTGATTTACACTTGCGGTAGGACTTTGCCACCTTTGAATAAATCTTTAATATTAAACACGTTTTTATAATCCTATCGACATTAATTAGGTACATAGCTTTGGTTTAAAGTATTTATTTGTTCGGTCAGTGTATGCGGCATGAAAAATCTGGAAAAATTCTTCTGTGGACTTGGGCAGTTTTGATATGCCATAAATACTTGTCTGTGCGCTGTGAGTTCCAAAGTTCAATATATTTTTTAAATATTTACAAAAATATTGGCGTGTTGTTATATCTACGCAAAAACCGCATTAAAAAACCAATTAGACTCTTCCATAGATGATAAAATAATATGTATATAAATACAAAATTCCAAATAGCTTTACGATAAGTATTCAAACAAAAATATGTATTTGAAAATACTTTTGAGATCACATGTACATACTAGGGATGCCAATCCTCGGATCTCAGAGTCCCGGTTTTTGTGAGGTCCCGAAAATGCGAGCAAATCCCGGGATCCCCAAAAATGTTTAAATATCGAAATGATAGTAACAACTTGTTTATGAATTTTGAAGTATGACTTTTGTAAAATGCCGTCTTGGCTGCAACTAACTTGAAACTGTACTTTTAAATTGCAGCCTGAACCTTTTTTAAAGAAGATTTAAAGGAATGTAAGATGATTAAATGAGCATGTTATGTATGTAACAAGTTCAGGCAAGATTAAATGGAAGACTCCGCTTTCAATACTTTGTTGCTCTTACGTACATTTTAAGTGGAAGGTGTTGCTTCTTTTCTCCATACAAAAAATAATTGTCGAATTACTTTGTATAGAAGAACTTGCGTGAAAAAAATACC